CATTCTAACGGTAAGTGGAACAAACTGTTAAAAGTACCATGTGTATAACAATAGAGGAAATTCCTTTAATTCTATCAAAGATTATCCAACATTCTAATGGTAAGGAGAACAAACTGTTAAAAGTACCATGTGTATAACAATAGAGGAAATTCCTTTAATTCTATCAAAGATTATCCAACATTCTAATGGTAAGGAGAACAAACTGTTCTTTTCAATAAACATTACTGCAAAATATCCAACAATAAAGTGAACTTAAAATTTCCGTTCATATGCTGTTTTAAAGCACAAGTTTTCTACTGAATTTCAAAGAATAGTTTGTTTGTTTATATTTTTGTGCAAAGCTATTCAAAGTCCCTAATTTTGAACAGAGACCAGAAGAAAGGCAGCTAGTGAACAGTACCAACCGCTAGTTATTCTTGAGCTACTCTTATTTGACCTTTTAGTCGGATTTGACCGTCATTTAAGTGCATCTCAAGTGTGGGGCGTGTTTATGAGGCAAGGGGACGTGAATCACGAGCTCCTGGATTCAGAATCTGGGTACGATAGTCACCAGGCCACTCCTGCTCTTAAAGAATAGAGTGTTGAAATACAATAATGGGTAATTAACAAGTATCTTAATTCTTGAATTTTACAGATACTAGTTAAACATGTATCCAAATGTTCTTATGATGTCACGTCACAGCTTTTAAGCAGATAAAATTCATTTTCTAATAGATTATATGAGATAACGAGACCTAACTTTTTTTTTGCGTTTTGTTATATAGTCTTGAAACAACATCCGCTTATTAAGAATCATTTCTCAGATAATGTTACACATATTATTTGCGGTCGTTGTTAAACTATACAGCTATAATTTAAGAGAAATTGTTTCTATCGTATTTCTAACGAATTCAGACGCTAGCTTTGTATATTTAAATAGGTTGTCTGTAGTCTGTTTACCATAGGTATCGAAACCCGGTTTTTAGCATTATAAGCCTAAAGCCTTACCGCTGTGCCACTGGGGTAAACTAAAAGGTGATAGGATTTGCTCTGTCCTAGTTTTTAACCGTCAGAGTTTTTGTCCATAACTGAATATTAAATATTTTTAAATGGAATGAACATTTGTCCCCTGGAAGTTGAACGATAAATCTGGGGGCTTACAGCGGTAAAAACCGGGTTTCGATACGCGCAGTGGGCAGAGCACAGATAAAACATTGTGTAGCTTTACGTTTAAGAACAAACAGTGAAAATTGTATCAACACAATGAATTTTATTCATCTTTTAAAATATTTCAGTACTCTTAGATCAAGTCGGATTTTTTGATTCAATCATAATCACTTTCTAACCTTACTTAAAACAGTATATTTATTGGAATATTTTTTGGCTTTATTATGCTTTGTGTGAAAGCTGTATAGTAATAATTTACAGATTATATCAAACTACACGCACCACATTCTAATGTCGGTATCAAACGACATGCTCCATATTCCAACGTCGGTATTATTTTTGCGACTCCTGCTTGATGTTAATATAAGCACCATATTCCAATGTCGATATTATTTTTGCGACTTCTGCTTGATGTTAATATAAGCACCATATTCCAATATCGATATTATTTTTGCGATTCCTGCTTGTTGTTAATATAACCACCATATTCCAATGTCGGTAATATTTTTGCGACTCCTATTTAATGTTGATATAATCACCATATTCCAATGTCGGTATTATTTTTGCGACTCCTGCTTGATGCTAATATAAATAATGTATAAAATATCTCTCTCATTTATCGTATAATGTTACAGTTACTGTGCTGTAACAGTTGTAGCTAAACTTTAAAGGTGAACCACCGAATAATCGTATTTTATAAACGTTTTTCTAGCGAATTCCAAGATTTTATCTTTATATACTGCCGATGGTCATTTTAGCAGGCATTAATACCATATACATTATGATGGTTCATTCCTAGCATATTACACGTTATCACTAACCTGGAATAGAAAACAAAACAAAAACATTATTGGTATTTGGAACACCACATCTGATGTATACTATGGATACCAAGTGCTGTACCACGCTGTCGCTGATACGACTTTGGACGGGGTCCAAGAGATGACAGATACACAAATGTGAAATATATAGGAGTCTTAATTATGATACTTCTTGTACTTTTTTTTGTTTAAACATAGCTTTAATTGAGAATTTCTTTCATTAATACGCGAACTCTTCAGTGTTAGTTTTTTGGTAAAATTCATTGAATCCCCCAAGCAAAAATAAAAAGTGAACAAACAAATAGCTAGTTATCACGCAAACACGTATTTTTTTTTCTCCTGTAAACTCCCAGTGGAGCATAGGGCCGTAACAACACCTCACCAACGGAAAGTTGTTGTTGCAGTTACTTGCAGTAAGTTGTTTTTTTTCGGGGCTAAGCTGGACTTCGAACCAGGCAAAGGCGGAGGTTGGCATGTTTGGTGTGACGGGGATTCGAACCCGCGACCCTCAGATTACGAGTCGAGCGCCCTAACCACCTGGCCATGTCGGGCCTACGCAAACACGTATACTTGGTGTTTTTTTAATGTTAGGGATAACATTCAGTTTCCTTTTATACCTATTTCATTCATCCATGGGCTGACCGCGGCCTAGTGATCTAGGTACTGGAGTGTGAGTTCGAGGGTTTGTGGTTGGCATCTCGTTCTTGAAAACAAAAACAACCGCGCTTCCCACTTTGAGACTGTTGGTGTTTCGTAAGAGTGGCAGTCAATCAAACAAGAGTAACCCAAGAGTTGGCGGTGGGTACTGCTGACTAGCTCTAGTCTATCAATTCATAATTAGGGACGACAAGCTCAGAGAGACCTTTTGTTGCTTTGCGAATCCGAAACAAACAAATACATTAATTGTTAAGATAAATAACCTTTCGCACAACTCTAAAATTATTGTGACGTTG